CTGGTTCAAATAGACCCTGTGTTGAGCAGGCACCAAATGCAAATTTCCCCTTATCACTGTGGCTTGTGACATAGCATCGATAGCGCATGAAATAGCCCCTCCTAAAACGGCAGCTGCCTCCTGCAGTTACAAACCACACTGCTTGCTCTCAGTGCTGAAATGCAGCCACCTCTGGGGCGGGGCAGCTGGGGAACAACTGCACATCACACCAGAGTAGGATGGCTCGCCCAGTGCTGAGATGCAGCCAGCTCTGGGACAGGGCACCCAGGGAGCAGCCACGCATAATGCCAGATGGGGATGGCTTGCCCGGCACTGAGATGCAGCTATTTCTGGGGAGCAGCACAGTTCACTGGTTGTCACAGTATAAAACAGCAGAAGGTTCTTTTTATAGGCTAAAACTAAGAACCAGGACTCCTGGGTTCCATCCTCAGCTCTGGGAGGGGTGTGGGGTGTAGCGGATTAGATCAGGGTGGGGCTGGGAGCCAGGACTCCTGGGTTCTCTCAATGTCACCTTGGCCAGGTCCTGCCTCAACTTGGTGCCTCAGTTTCCCCTGTGGCTTTCCAGAGTCGTGCTGGGAGTGAGTCGGGTGGGGAGGGTTAATTCTGTGCAGCTTCGCGCTGGCCCGTCCTCCCCTCTGACAGGGAAATGAATTTTCCAGAAGGGACTTTGTTCCCTTGTCTCTCGCCTGGCTTCAGCTGCTGATTTCCTATATAAATGTAGCCCAAACCAAATCCCAGCCACCTCCAGGCTGGGGCCAGGTGGGGGGGGGGGAAGGGAAAGTGATGGAAGCCGGCACCCCCTAGTGGGGAAAGGCCCAGTGCCCCACTCCCCACCCCCTAAGCCAGCCACTCCCTTTATTAAATCCCCATCTCATATTCCAGACTTATGTACAGCTGTTTTCATTCCACTGTACTGGGTCTAGAGATCGGGATGGCTTGACCAGCGCTCAGATGCAGCCATTTCTGGGGCAGGGCAGCTGGGGAACAGCTGCGCATAACGCCACACAGGGATGGCTCGCCTGGTGCTGAGATGCAGCCACCTCTGGGTCGGGGCAGCTGGAGAACAGCTGCGCATAACGCCGCACAGGGATGGCTCGCCTGGTGCTGAGATGCAGCCACCTCTGGGGCGGGGCAGCTGGGGAACAGCTGCGCATAACGCCGCACAGGATGGCTGACAGGCTCTGCTCCCTGGCTCAGCACAGGGGCTGCTCACCAGCCCCGTGCCGAAGAGCTGAAGTGAAAAGCAGAAGCTGCCCCATGGGGTTAGTCAGTCCTGGGAACTGAAAACACGGATCCTGAAAGTGAATGCAACAGTGCGGGGAAATGGACCTCTCTAGGGGGCGGCATGCTGTGGGGAATGAGGTGTAAGGCTCTGCAGGGGGCGCTCTCCCCTGGCAGTCGGGGCCGGGCGCTGGGGGGTGCCGTGCTGCGGGGGGCTGGTCAAATTCCCTCCCCTGATCCCCTGTCTCTCTGCACCCTACATGGCTAATATCCCCCGTGCCCTCCATCCAGAGCTCTGGCCCTCGCACCATCCCCCACAGGGTACAGATCAGGGGATCCACCGAGCCGACAAGCCGACAACATCCCGGTTTTCTCCCTTTTGCCTCCACCCATCGGGACACAGGGGGGAAACTACGAAAAAAATTGTGATGGCAAAAAACCTCCGTCGGCCGGAGAGTTCGGAAGCCGCGGGAGCTTCTCTGCTCCAGATCTTCCCCCTCTGGGTCTTTCTCTTCCCTCTGTCCTTTTGGAAATTAAAAAACCAAACCTAGGGAATGAATAACCAAAAACTTTGTGATTTAGCCAAATCCGGCACTGAGAAGCCGAAAGCTGCCCGGGCCGCTCAGACCCAGGTTTTCTCCCTGTTCTTTCTCCTTCCCCCGCCCCACCAAAACTTTTTTGGGGGGAAAAAACGGAGGAAATGAACATCAAAAACTCCGTGACGTGCCCTGATCCTTAATGCAAGAAACTTTTATCTGCTGAGAAGCTGCAGAACCTGCCTGTCTCCTGCTACCCTCTTCGTTCCACACTTGCTTTTCTCCAGCCTTAGTCGACAAAACCGCCGCAGCCAAACCTTGGCAATGCAAGAGCACAAACCACCGGGACGGAGCTGGGGCTGTGGCAAACAGCCCGGCCGCTGGCGGGCTCCAGCTGAGAACTGCCAACTCCTGGGATCCCTGCCGTCCACTGTAAACCCCCGCCTGCGAAATACTGACCCAGCCACTCCTCCGCCCTGGGGCTGAAGGGAGCTAGTGCCCCCTAGAGCCCACCCCCCTGAGCCCTCCATTCCTACCTCCCAGCCCCCCTGCTCTACCCACTAGAGCCCCCTCCCCTCCCAGA